CATTATGAAATGATTCTCGGTTCAGATGGCCGTCAAGATCGTCGGAATTCAGACAAACTACCACTCACATCTCCGACGGAAAATCCTTCCGATGAATATTCATTACTACGGTTATGAGTGAATAAAAAAAAAAGTAAAATAAATATGAAACTCTAAATTAACAATAATAACTTAAAAACTTTATATTTTCCCTATAAAGAAATTAAATCTTAATTTTTTTTTTAAATACTAACGAAGTAATATTTCTAGACCAACCAGCTAGCAGATGTTATCCACTTTAACCTATTATGTATCGTTGTCAGCTTCACAGTTTTAAATCGCGTTTGTTAAGGGAGGTTTCCATATCTTTATAAGGAATGTTTCGCTCTCCTCTCCAACCGATATAAGATCTCTCACATGATGTGGCTGCAGAAGAAAGGACTATGGACTTCGGGGACGAGTGCACAACCAGCCTCCTATGTACTAAGTGCCTCGGGTATGCTTGTCCACAGCAATGTTGCTTAAGGCCGCATACCCAAGTCATCCTCCATCATACCATGAAGACTAACTAATCGTCAAACCTCTACCACCAACAAAGAGTTCGTAAACTCTCTTGCCTATATGTTTTAATGCAACTGGCGAAATTCAACTCATTTTCTCTCTCACGTTTTATAAATCCATTTTCTCTCAAAACATGAGTTGGGGCTAAAAACAACCTCGAGATTGTTCATAAAGCCTGAGTTTTGTACAGTTGACTTGCTCGTTATGTTAGAACAACTGTCACACACCAATGTTGTCACGTCATCAGAAAAGTGTGATTGTGATACTAACAACCCATTTTCTTGAGGCGACACCTCATTAAAGCCCTCGTGTGCTCGTCTGAAACCCACTTCTCCTCTTTCAGGCGCACAACAACCCAGATGACTAAGCAGACAAACTCTTAGTTAGAAGGCTTAAAGCTCAACTTGCATTTAAAGGATCAGTGATACGTAGGATCTTACATCGAGATGTATGGATCCATGGGCCTATTTGCCTATGCCATTCTATGAGTCTCTTCCTTTTTACGTATGGCATTGCCACCCCCTTTGGCAGCATCCACTAATTCAGAACTTAATTTGAAAGTCATATTTCGACCCGGACGTTTCCGGGATGCCCCTAATAACCAACGAATGACAAGTGCTTTTCCTTGTGTGGATCCTATTTCAATGGGAACTTGATGAGTTGATCTGCTTACACGTCTTGCCTTTACTGCTATATCGGGAGTTACTCCACGTATTGCTTGACGTAAAACAGATAGTGGATTTGTTTCTGTCTTTTGTTGAATCTTTTTCATGGCCCGATAGATAATTTGATAAGCCAATGATTTTTTTCGGGATCGTTCGGATGACACTTGGCATAATTTAATTTGAAATTTATAAGACCACATAAAAAAAAAAAGAAAAAAAAATACCAAATCCAAAAGATTTCTCTCTTTATATGATATGTCTTTTATTTATTTATTTATTTAATAATTTAAAGATAACAAAGCAAATGTGAATTATTCACCACAAACTCTTTCTTTATTTTATTTTATTCTTCCATTCACTGCCAATCATTTATTTTTAAATTATTTTTAAAAAATTTAAAATAATAAATTCCATAGATTTTACATATTTATTTAATAATTTATTGATATTGACCACAAACTTTAATTATTATTTTTTTATTGCCCTCTCCTTTGGGCTTTTGGGTTGTTGGGAACTAGTTGTTTTCCAAAAGCTTATTCTTTTTAATTAATTAATTAAAAATTTTGAATTTTAAAACAATTCCATTTTGACTTTAATTAATTTTCAAATTCTTGTTGGATTTTAATTAATTAATTTATTTGCTCAATCTAAAATTTCGAGTTAGTTGAGTTAGTGACGTGGATGACTCGAATAGGGTTCACAGTTCAATTCGATCTAACTTGACCCTTTTATTTTTTGGTTCGGTGGAGTTGAGTCATTATCAAATGGTTCGTCTTATAAAACTCAAATATCAAACGTTCACGAGGATAATGAGAGTTGAGTTGAAAATTGTAAGCTCTATGTTACGGTTACTCGAGTTAATCGACCAAGAAAGTTTCAAATCTATGAACCAGTCCAAATTAGAGGCTTCAATATCTCATCTTCATCGATTAGCAAATGTCCCGTCATACACCCGGTACATTTTTGTTGCTTAAAAAAATATTTTGAAAAAGGTCAAGTATTAAAAATACTCAATAGGTAACCGTCTAATAGCATTAAACATGTATGCACTATGAGACGTGAATTGGACGGTATAAACATGTCATTTCTTTTTATATGATTGAGCAGATCATTAACCCATGATTTGAGTTGAATTGCATGAGCGGGAATTTTCGGAGACTTTATCCCGACTAATGGGAATTCACACTCAATTAATGGAGTTGAGTCTCATCCGTCGTAGTGTCTCATGAAACTATATGGTTAATTGTCACATTCTCACGAGTTACGTATTGACATGACATTCACATATGTATGAGGTCTCCAAACCGACTATCCACAATACTTGGCATACGTGCACGTACAACCCTCTCATATCCAAACTAACCCTAAGGTTCATCAAGAGAGACATTTACCTTTAAACGTTCTTTGACAATAAATTTTATTGTCTTAGAACATCGGTAACCTCAATGTAAGAAATCGTATAAATTAAGCATAAATTAAAGGCCTTAAAAGTGATTTTGAGGTCATAACGTTTACTCAAAAGCTTGCTAGTTAGTTTGAGCTCAATTTTGATTTCGTCGATCCAACCCTAAACGTAATAGGTACTTTGACTCGTGTTCTAAAATTTTATAGGTTAGACTCAAATCAAACAAAAGCACGAATACAATCTCTCGCATGTACCACCGAAAAATGCATTAGTGAGGGCTTGTAGTCACCGATGGAATGAGAGATAGGAGAGAGAACCACGTTTGAGACCCAATTTTGAGAGGTGTTCAATGACCCAAGAACCCGACCAATCGGGACTATGCAACCCAAAATATAAAGGCTCGATTGAGTTACATTTTTTTTCCAGTTTGGGTTAGTCGAAAATTCGAGCCAATTGGGCAGGTTAACATTTTTTTGGTCAGGTCAACCAGACTAACCCAACCCTACCTACTATTCTAAGATTATTATGAAAATTAAAAATATTTAACGTTTCCAACTAATTTTAATGATGTTTTTATGACTCAGTCAATATGATATTTACGGTTCCTAACATTTATGTATTATAGATAAGTAATTTTTTTAATTACCCGAAAACTCAACCAAACTCAAGAATAGAGAGATGAGTTGTAAATTCCTATCTAACCAACCCGAAATATCGGGTTAGTCCCAGCTCGTGTACACCCCTACCAATTACGCTTATAGTGCAGCAACTCCGGCAGTAGCAGCAACGGTGGCGGTCGGACATCGGGCAGCATCAGCCAGGTAGTTGGGCTACCGATTGAAAACCAAACGAGGGTAAGGGAGAAAGATGAAAGAAGGCCAAAGTCAAGAGAGAGAAGACGACGGGTACGGGTAGTAACCGGTGAAATCCGGCGGAGAGATACTCGCACCGCCGTGGGTGGCCGGAATCCTGATCAAAAGAAGCTGCACAAAACCCATGTGGCCAAATATGGCATTAATAATGGTGAAAATGTTTGTTTAAGTGGCAATCATACCATAAATATAAAAAACAAAAAAATGGAGGGCCCACGTGCAATTATTATTTTTATAAGAATAATAATTAACAACAACTTTATGAACCACCAAACAAAGGAATTATACTTTGAGTTAGGGTAAAACCTGAAATTTCCACATACTTTTGGGCATCAAAGTAAATAGCCAAAAGTTAGGATCATGTTTGGAAAAAAAAAAGTGAGAATTTGAATCTTTTAAATTAATTAAATATTATATTTTTCACCGAGAATCTAACTCCCGTAATTTTACGATAGGTATTTACGCTTCATTTTTTAACAAAGTTCCTGCCTCATTGTGTATATCGTATGACTAAACACGTTTTCAACTAGCAAGTTAAACATAGTTAGAGATGTTCATTTAATACCTGGGGAGCTGCCCCGAGTAGAGAATCTTCATTTAAACGAAAAATAAGAAAGAGATTAGGGAGAGATTTTTCTCGGTTAATTAAAATGGGATTGGAGACGAGAATTATATTCTTCGTCCTTTATATATATATTTATTTAAAAATTGAATTTTTAAAAATTATATTTAATATTATATTATATTTTTGTTTATAAAATATTATTAAATTTATTACCATTGTTTTTAATATTATATTATATTTTTTTGTTATAAAATATTATTAAATTTATTAAGTGATTTATATTAAAAATGGAAAATATTAAATGAATATTATTTTAAAATATTTATAAAAAGCATAAAATTCAATTCTAAAGCACTTCTAAATGAGAAATTTTGCGAGACTGAGAATTGAAATAGGCAGCAGGGACGGGGACGGGGACAGGGAGGCTCCCACGTCCCCACCTTACTATGTGGCCAAACATATTTAAACCCTATTATTCAATTATTAAAATAACCGATTAAACCATAATATTACGCTTAACTCAAAATTCATTTTCAACTCACGATTGTATAAGCAATTTGAACCATACATTTTTTTCGAGTTTAAATGTAGAGGGTAGAAATTTGAATATCTAATTTTTATATCAACTATATAATACCTGAATCAGTTGAATTATATTTTAAATTCAAAGGCTAATTATCGGACGATATAAATTGTATTAAACATCCATCTCTATATTCCCTCTCGATCCAACTTCAAAATATACTAAATGGCGTTCGATGTTCGATGTTGGATCCTGAAGAACCAAAAAATTTTTAGAAACACTTTAAGCATCAAAACCGAGTAGAAATGAGAAGAAATGGTAACTCTTTTTGATCAAAGAACAACACAAATGGGAAGAAAAAGAAAGTGACAATCCACAAATTATTGCGAACTGTTTGAAGAGAATAAATTATTTTCTTCAACTGTTTAAATTCCTCTGCTCCTCTGCCATAGGCTTCAGAAGAGACCAGAGAGGGCTCAAACTTTCTCTCCTCTCTCTCTTGGAAGCGTTTTTTTTGGGTTTTAAGAACAATTCTTCCAAGTTTCAATTTAGTGGGGTTGAAGAAAGTCGCTTGTGGTGCTTGTTTTGCACTCATCAAACTTTAATTTCAAGAGGGGTTTTCGGGTTTTTTTCTCTTTCTGACAATCTCTGCGCTAATTCTTCCAATTCACTCGATTCCGAATGTCATCTACACTTCACGGATTCAATTCTCTTCCTCCGTAGCCATTTCTCTTGTTTAACGATTTCCTCTCTTGAATCCACTCGATTTTAAGAGCGTTCAGTCCAAATTTTGCGTTGGAAATGGAGAATTTCATCGGAAAACGTAAACCCACCATCAGCCTTTCGCTATTCACCGCCTTGTCCGGTTCATTCTCATCTGATAGAACGAAATCCCCTCGCGATTTTGAGAAGGGCGTTGTTGGATTAGGCATAGTAGCCGCCATGACCGATTCGGACAAGGTTCATGAAGCTTTTGTGTATTCGAAAGCGGCTTCTCCTAGGTCGTGCTCGATTCCGATCGTTTCTTCGGCTAAACCTGCGGCGAATTTTAGAGGTGGGTTTAACCTAGAAAAGGAATCTGAGGTCGTTGATGAACTTTCTGAAAGTTATACTTGCATAACTTCACATTTTGGTAATCAAATGTTTGATAAGCGCGTTTACTTTAATGGTGAGCTTGAATTCATCACTGGCCGCTCTTCGAGTGTGGTGAAATCTGGGGTTTTTTCCACTTCTCCCATGAGTTTTGGTGTAGCAGAGAGAGGGTTTTGTGCTGCTGAATTTTTGAGCTCTTGCTATCTCTGTTGCAAGCAGCTTCATGGGCTTGATATCTTCATGTACAGGTAAATATCACCTCTGCTCCCCTTTTCCCCTTTGTTCTTGGTCTCTGTTGGTTGCCTGATTCGTGAAACCATGGATCAACTTTTAGTTAAATCTAGGGAAGAACATTGAAACATGAAAGGTTTTATATTCTGTATAAGTTGTTGAATCATGGTAACTTGGAAGCTTGTGTTGTTGAAACGTGAGATTTTTTGTTTTTTGTTTCTTTGGTGTTTGTCTGATTGTGATGATTTGCTCTTGGTTGATTCATTTATGATATAGGTTGAATCAATGATTTTGTTTTCTTTGTGAAGTTTTGGATGAGTGATCATTGATTTTGTGAGATCTCACATCGATTGGGGAGGAGAACGAAACATTCTTTATAAGGGTGTGGAATCCTCTCCCTAGCAGATGCGTCTTAAAAACCTTGAGGGGAAACCCGGAAGAAGAAGTCCAAAGAGGACAATATCTGCTAGCGGTGGGTTTGGGCACTTACAAATGGTATCAAAGCTAAACAATGGACGATGTGCCAGCGAGGAGGTTGAGCCCCGAAGGGGGGTAGACACGAGGTGGTGTGCTAGCAAGGACGCTAGGCTCTGAAGGGGGTGGATTGTGAGATCCCACATCAGTTGGGGAGAAGAACGAAACATTCTTTATAAGGGTGTGGAAACCTCTCCCTAGTAGACTCTGAAGGGGGTAGACACAAGGTGGTGTGCTAGCAAGGACGCTAGGCTCTGAAGGGGGTGGATTGTGAGATCCCACATCAGTTGGGTAGAAGAACAAAACATTCTTTATAAGAGTGTGGAAACCTCTCCCTAGTAGACTCGTTTTAAAAACCTCGAGGGGAAGCCCATAGAGGACAGTATCTTTAGCTGTACGCTTGGGCGGTTAAACCATATTGCAGATTTTGGGACTTTATGATAGGTTTCCATCCTTTTTAATATTTTATTTTCTAGTGCAACGATTTGTTGAATTACATAATTATTTTAGATTTGATGTGGCCTTGGAGTGGGGCCCTGTTTCTGGTATTTGTCAACATGATTGTATTTGTTCCTAGATTGATATGATTGAGTTTGGTTATTGTCTCCCTTAGAACTTATGTCTGCATTACAATTCAGGTGTTTCATAAAGATGTCGTAGCTTATATGATAATGAAGAACTTACCATATTCTCGTATAGTTAAGTCGTTCGGGTTAAAATGGTCCTTTTTTTGGAGTACGACACGGGTGGGGTGGGGGTGGGGGTAGGGTTGGGTTCTGTCTTCTGGAAGATAAGTTAAAGCTCTGATCATTAAAGCTACACTCGTGTCGGTGTTAAAATTGTTATTTTAAAACCGTGTTCTTGTTCTTGTAAGAACTAAAGAACTTGCAGTTTGATGGTTGCAAGAGATGAGAGTAATTTTCAGGTCAGTTTATATATTCTCTAAGATAATTCTGTTTATATATTCTCTAGTGGTGGGCTTTGGCTTGGGCTGTTACATATGGTATCAGAGCTAGACACCGGGTGGGGTGCCAACGAGGACGTTGGTCCCCTGAGGGGGGTGGATTGTGAGATCTCACATCCGTTGAAGAGAGGAACGAAGCATTCCTTGTAAGGATGTAGAAACCTCTCCCTAGTAGACGCGTTTTAAAACTGTGAGGCTGACAACAATACGTAATGGGCTAAAGTGGACAATATCTACTAACGATAGGCTTGAGCTTGGACTATTACAGTTACGAGTACATAATACACAAAGAAGTGATATCACCTCTCAGATGCAATTCTTGGTTTAATCTCTTCTTTGCTTCAACTCTAAAAGTTTGGCTGTTTCTTTCCTTTCTTAATGAGGACTGAAGTGTTCATTTTAAGTTAGCTACAAGTACACAACAGCTGACAGCTATTATTCCTTCGTCGGGACATTATACTAATCTTTGAATAGTATATAACTTAATCGTTGGACGATAATGTTATCTCGACTCTTTCTTGGCTAATACTTCCAAGATACCTCCTCGATTATCATCGCTTACATCGGTTTGTTTGATGTTTGGACTTCTATTGCTCTTCAATAATCATATAATTTCATGCTTGCTATGTAGAGAAAATCTTCCAAATCTTATTGTTGTTCTAATGATAACGATGGTTCGTGTGGAAAGATCTGAATCCTGAATAGCTGTTTCTTTTGTCGATCGAAATATCTAAATCCTAAATAGCTGTTTCTTTTGTTGATCGAAAGATTTGAATCCTGAATAGTTGTTTCTTTTGTCGAGTGGAAATATTTGAATTCTGAATAGCTGTTTCTTTTGTCGAGTGGAAAGATCTGAATCCTAAATAACTGTTTTTTTTGTCGAGTGGAAAGATCTGAATCCTAAATAACTGTTTTTTTTGACGAGTGGAAAGATCTGAATCCTAAACAATTGTTTCTTTTGTCGATCTAAAGATTTGAATCCTGAATAGTTGTTTCTTTTGTTGAGTGGAAATATCTGAATCGTTGATCGAAACATCTTAATCCTGAATAGTTGTTTCTTTTTTCGATCGAAATATCTGAATCCTGAATAGCTGTTTCTTTTGTTGATCGAAAGATTTGAATCCTGAATAGTTGTTTCTTTTGTCGAGTGGAAATATCTGAATCGTTGATCGAAAGATCTTAATCCTGAATAGCTATTTCTTTTGTCGAGTGGAAAGATTTGAATTCTGAATACTTGTTTCTTTTGTCGATCGAAAGATCTGAATCCTAAATAGTTGTTTCTTTTGTCAATCAAAAGATTTGAATCCTGAATAATTGTTTCTTTTGTCGAGTGGAAAGATCTGAATCCAGCATAGTTGTTTCTTTTGTCGATCGAAAGATCTAAATCCTAAATAACCGTTACTTTTGTCGATCGAAAGGTCTGAATCCTGAATAACTGTTTCTTTTGTCGATCAAATTTTCACCACATAAGCGTTTTAATCAAGATATTTTCAGGGTTTCTTGTCATGTACTTCATGTGGTTGATATGAGATGACATGTGAATGGATATGAAACTTTAGCAATATGATTGGCTTCCATCCAAGATTCTCATGAACTTGGAATCTTCTTTTTACCTTGAGAATGACTTTGCTGTGTTTCATTTATTATGTAGAGGCGAAAAAGCGTTTTGCAGCGTCGAGTGCCGTGACAAACACATAAGAAGCGACGATTGCAGGGACAAATGTGGAGCGGAGGCCATGAAAGACTACTCGGCATCATCGCCTTGCTCGGTGACTGGTCCGCTTGCCTTGGCCTCGGGCGTAGTTGCAGCTTAGTAGGTAAAAGCAAAAAGCACACAGAAACAAATTATAAATAGGTGATTGATGGATGATAAGCGCAGAGTATGAAATAAAGTAGTAGTGGGTAGCAAAGACCTTGTAGAAAAGGCTTACAAATAAGATGGTTTGTATGATGCAAGTGTTATATAAAATGTATGAATTATGGGTCATATATAATATGATAATGATATGATGTGATAAATTCTATTAGCTTACAATACCCATGATATTTGATATTCTATGGTCCAAAAATTAATCAACCTTGTTATATTATACTAGATATCTTATATTATATTATACTATATAGTCGGGATCTATTTATTATCCCTTGGAACGACGATTCACGAGCTCGGTGTCACGGTCATGCTCGTCCAGGGCGTGTTGCCCGTGGCCGCATGCCCATGACAAGCTAAACCCTTGTCATGTCTTTTCATTCTAGTGTTTTTACTTTTGTAGTTCTAGGGCGTATGATGCCTCAAAAATATCATGTTTAGGTGTGCTAGACATGAAATGCCTCAGAATGTACTATAGCTATAGGAGGATATAACTAGTTGTCAACTTCTCTCTACCCAAGGTTATATATTGTAAGCCGTTGTTATCTCTATCTTGTTTACTTATATAACGTCTCTTTTTAAAATGTCTCTCTGCCCTCGTTTTCTAAAACCTTCTTTTAAAATCGAGGCTAGAGGCTCGATCATATGTCGCTTGGCCGTAGGCGACGCAAGAACAAATTGGCTTAACTCACTTGTCGTTGGAAAGTGAGTGTCGTACAATCGCTAGTCTGCTGCATTCAAAAGTGCGATTGTGTCAAGTGGTATCAGAGGTTTGTTAGCTCCATGACATAGTAAAGACCGAAAATATGTCGGCGACAAAGTCGACACCAAAAGCACAAGCTGACTGGCTTACGCTAATATAGGAGGAAATGCAGTTCCTCAAGGAAGTCCCTGACACCCTCCGCTTCCTGGAAGCACGGGTGACCGAATTGAGTGGGGGAAAGTCATAGAAATCGACGCAATGGGCAACCTCCTGGATGGATTGCCAATCGCAGAACTGATGTTTCGAGTGACCTCGCTCGAAGAAAGAGTTGCTCCTACGAGGGACGTGGCGAAAAGTTCGACGTGCTACAAAATACAATGATGAGCTTGTTCAATGGATTAGCTGATGAATTCAAAACAACAATCGACGACATCCAAGAAAGGATGGCCACCATGAGCACTCGAATTGAAGTGACCATGAAAGCCGTGGAGAATGTCGCGACTAGGCAAACTAATGCAGGATCCAACAAACTGAGATTCCCAGACCCTAGAGCCTTCAAAGGGAATCGGGACGCCAAGGAGTTGGAAAACTTCATCTTTGATATCGAACAGTACTTCAAAGCCACAACAGCTTGTACCGACGACAAGAAGGTGACCTTAGCCTCGATGTATCTCATAGACGACGCCAAACTTTGGTGGCGTACGAAGGTGCAAGACATCGAGGATGGATTGTGCACCATCGACTCGTGAGAAGACCTCAAGAAAGAGTTGAGGGACCAATTCCTCCCCGAAAACACAGGACATATGGCAATGGAGAAAGTAGTAGCCCTGAAACATACTGGAGGCATACGGGACTATGTCAGATAGTTCTCATCCCTGATGCTAGATATCAGGGGCACATCAGAGAAGGACAAGGTGTTCTTCTTTATAAATGGGTTACAGCCGTGGGCCAAAATAAAGCTATATGAGAACAAGGTCCAAACCCTAGCTGCCGCAATGGCCTGCGCCGGGAGACTCCTAGACTATAGGAATGAAGCGGGATCCCAAAGGAGAACGACACCGGCCCCAAACACTGGGGGCAAAACATACAAGCCACCAGGTCATCGAAATGAAAGCCCCAACAGACTGAACGTAGGTAACGACAGACCAAGCGGATGGACGGATAGACCTCCTCATATCAACCAAGCGGGGACATCCCGAGGACCTTACCATCAAAAGAACCACCCAACGACGCCTCTACAATGCATATTGTGTAAAGGTCCACACAAATTATCCTATTATCCTCATCGGGCCTCTCTCACTGCGCTCCAAGTGTTCATTCAAGAGAGCAATGACGCCAGGGTCAAGACTATGCTAGACAAGAAGGAAGATCAAGACAACCCCGAATGGGCCCGCTCAAATTCTTGTCAGCCCTCCAATGGAAGGTCGAACTAAAGGAGATAATAGAGAAAAGACTCATGTTCGTAGATGCGACAATAAATTCTCGACCGAGCAAGAGCATTCTGATAGATTCAAGAGCGACCCACAACTTCATCGCCGATCAAGAAGCCCAAAGATTGGGACTCACCATAGGAAAGGACCCTGGGAAAATGAAAGCTGTCAACTTTGAGACCTTGCCTATTGTGGGAGTTTCCAAAAGAGTCTTCTTCAAAATAGGGGATTGGACAAGAGAGCTAGATCTTGTCATAGTTCGCATGAACGACTTTGACGTGGTACTTGGGATGAAGTTCCTCCTAGAACACAAAATTATCCCAATGCCACTGGCAAAATGTTTGGTGATCACCGACCGCAACCCCATGGTAATACCTGCAAGCATCAAGCAACCAGGTAATCTTCGAATGATCTCGACCATACAATTGAAAAGAGGACTCGCACGAGAGGAACCTACATTTATGGCCATACCATTAATGGAAGAAGCGACCACTGAAGAAACTGTCCCAAATGAAATCAAGGAGGTACTAAACAGCTATGCCGACATAATGCTAGAGAGCTTACCCCAAACATTACCACCTCGTCGAGGCATTGATCACGAAATCGAACTCCTCCCCGAGGTTAAGCCGCCAGCGAAGAATGCATACCGAATGGCTCCGCCCGAGCTAGAATTGAGGAAACAACTGGATGAGTTGTTGACGACGGGATTCATCCTCCCGGCGAAGGCACCTTACGGAGCCCCCGTACTGTTCCAGAAGAAGAAGGATGGGACGTTGCGTGTGTGCATAGACTATAGAGCCTTAAACAAGGTGACGGTACGCAACAAATATCCACTACCGATAATATCCGACTTGTGCGACCAACTTCACGGGGCCAAATACTTCACGAAGTTGGACTTACGATCAGGGTATTACCAAGTACGTATTGTCGAGGGGGACGAGCCCAAGACGACGTGTGTAACAAGATATGGGATTTTCGAATTCCTAGTAATGCTCTTTCGCTTGACAAACGCCCCAGCTACTTTCTGCACGTTGATGAACCAAGTTTTCTACGAATACTTGGATCAGTTCGTCATAGTATACATCGACGACATAGTTGTTTACAGCACAACCCTAGAGGAACACAAAGTGCACTTGAAGCTGGTGTTTGACAAGCTGGGACAGAACTGTATGTCAAGAAAGAAAAATGTGCCTTCGCACAAACATGCATCAACTTCCTTGAACATGTCGTCAAATGTGGACAGATTAGTATGGATAGAAATAAGATAAAAGCTTTCCAAGAAAGGAAAGTTCCTACTTCCATATCCGATGTGCGGTCCTTCTTAGAATTAGCCAACTACTATAGATGGTTCGTCGAAGGGTTTTCACGACGAGCCGCCCCATTGACAGAGCTATTGAAGAAGGGCCACCCTTGGTCGTGGTCAAATAATTGTCAAATGGCCTTTGAAGATATGAAAACAACCATGACGAGGGGTCCTGTCCTCGGGTTGGTAGATGTTACAAAGCCATTTGAAATAGAAACAGATGCTTCCGACTTTGCCCTAAGTGGGGTTCTTATTCAGGAAGGCCACCCCATCGCTTACGAAAGTCGAAAGCTCAACGATGCCGAACTGAGATACACTGTCTTCGAGAAAGAAATGATGGTTGTAGTCCATTGCCTACGAGTCTGGAGACAGTATCTCTTGGGATCGCAGTTCGTAGTGAAGACGGATAACAGCGCCATTTTCCACTTCTTCGATTAACCAAAATTGACGGCAAAACAAGCCCGGTGGCAGGAATCGTTGGCTAAATTTGGCTTCAAGTTCGAACACAAAGCAGGAAAGAGTAATCAAGCAGCCGACACACTGAGTCGGAAGGGCGAACATGCGGCCCTATGCATGTTAGCCCATATTCACTCAAGTAAGATCGATGGATCGATGCGGCGACATCATCAAAGAACATTTATATAAAGAACCATCGGCCAAAGCCGTCGTCGAACTAGCTACAGCTGGGAAAACACGACAGTTTCGGGTTGAGGGAGACCTCTTGATGACGAAAGGAAACAGATTGTACGTCCCAAGAATGGGAGAACTGAGGAAGAAGCTCATTCAGGAATGTCATGATACCTTATGGGCCTGACACCCTGGGTGGCAAAGAACATACGCCCTAATAAAAAAGGGGTACTTCTGGCCAAACATGCGAGACGATATCATGCAATACACTAAGACGTGCCTCGTCTGTCAACATGACAAAGTCGAGAAAGCCAAAGTCTCAGGACTCTTGGAACTTCTGCCTGTGCCAACAAGACCCTGGGAAAGTGTGTCTCTAGACTTCATAACACACCTCCCAAAAGTCGGGGAATATGACGCCATCTTGGTTATCGTAGATCGATTCTCAAAATATGCGACGTTCGTCCCCACTCCCAAATTATGCTCGGTTGAACTCACAGCCCAACTCTTTTTCAAACACGTTGTAAAGTTATGGGGCATTCCGTCGAGCATCATCAGTGATAGGGATGGCAGATTCATTGGGACATTCTTGACTGAGTTATTCGCTTCTTGGGAACAACCTTAAACATCTCCTCGAGTTATCACCCTCAAACTGATGGACAGACAGAATGGTTCAATTTCTTGCTCGAAGAATACTTACGTCACTTCATTGATGCTCGCTAGAAGAACTGGATACAACTATTAGATGTCGCCCAATTTTGCTTCAATTGTCAAACAAGCTCATCTACGGGAAAGAGTCCCTTCGAAATTGTAAGTGGACGACAACCGGCCTTACCCCATATTATTGATCATCCTTATGCAGGAAAAAACCCTCAAGCTCAAAACTTCACAAGAGAATGGAAGCAAACAATAGATATAGCCCGGACTTATTTAGAGAAGGCTTCCAAGCATATGAAAAAGTGGGCGGACAAGAAGCGTCGCTCCCTTCAATTTCGAATAGGAGATCAAGTTCTCATCAAGCTAAAACCAGAACAGATCAGATTTCGCAGCCGAAAGGACCAGAGACTAGTTCGAAAATATGAAGGCCCGGTTGAAGTCCTTAAAAAGATCGGGGCTACCCCCTACC